AAAAAAAAAACAACAACAAAAAAAAAAAACAAACATTTAAACATAAAACCTAACACCATAAAAATCCTGGACAAAAACGTAGGTAAAATCATTCAGGGCATAGGCATAGGCAAGGACTTCATGACTAAAACACCAAAAGCTATGACAACAAAAGCCAAAATAGACACAAGGGATCTAATTAAACTTAAGAATTTCTGCACAGCAAAAGAAACAATCATTAGAGTGAACCGGCAACCAACAGAATGGGAAAAAAATTTTGCAATCTACCCATCTGACAAAGGCCTAATATCCAGAATCTACAAAGAACTAAAGCAGATTTACAAGAAACAAACAAGCCCATTCAAAAGTGGGTGAAAGATATGAACAGACATTTTTTCAAAAGAAGACATTTATGAGGCCAATAAACATATGAAAAAATGCTCATCATCACTGATCATCAGAGAAATGCAAATCAAAACCACATTGAGATACCATCTTACACCAGTTAGAATGGCGATCATTAAAAAATCAGGAGACAACAGATGCTGGAGAGGACGTGGAGAAATAGGAACAGTTTTACACTGTTGGTGGGAGTGTAAATTAGTTCAACCATTGTGGACAACAGTGTAGCGATTCCTCAAGGATCTAGAAATAGAAATATCATTTGACCTGGCAATCCCATTACCGGGTATATATCCAAAGGATTATAAATCATTCTGTCATAAAGACATGCACACGTATGTTCATTGCAGCACTGTTTACAATAGCAAAGACTTGGAACCAACCCAAATGCCCATCAATGATAGACTGGACAAAGAAAATGTGGCACCTATACACCATGGAATACTATGTAGCCATAAAAAAGGATGAGTTCATGTTCTTTGTAGGGACATGGATAAATCTAGAAACCATCATTCTCAGCAAACTGACGCAGGAACAGAAAATCAAATACCACATGTTCTCGCTCACAGGCAAGTGTCAAACAATGAGAACACATGAACACAGGAGGAAAGCATCACACACTGGGGTCTGTTCGGTGGGGGGCTAAGGGAGGAACAGCAGGATATGGGGAAGTTGGGGAGGGATAACATGGGGAGAAATGCCAGATGTAGATGAAGGGGGGATGGAGGCAGCAAACCGCCTTGCCATGTGAGTACTTATGCAGCAATCCTGCATGATCTGCACATGTACCCCAGAACCTAAAGTACAATTTAAAAAAAAGAAAGAAATAAAAGAAATAAAGAAAAAAAGAAAGAAAGAAAGAAGAAAAAAGAAAGAAAGAAAAGAAAGAAGGAAGGAAGGAAAAGAAAAGAAAAGAAAGAATGAAAAGAAAGGAAAAAAATAATATTCAGATGATGGGCCAGGACAGAAAAAATTGTTGAGGTAAAAAACCTGAAGGAGACAATGGTGACACTAGTCTCTATAGTTGCACTAGACTTTCAACAGTGAGGTTTTCAGTAGAAATGTAATTGCTTCCTAGTGGCCAAAGGAAGCTGAATTGCTTCTTTTTTGAACAAGTAAGGGGGTCTTTTGGCTTGTCTCAATATTTTAGGAAGGAAGGATATTAGCATTTAGTGGATGGGTTCAATGTTAAATTATCCCACCAGGTGTTCATGTTTGTGAAATATTGATTTAAATCATCTAAGCATTCATGCATACCTCTTTTATTGCCTTGTTTTTTGTTTTTTATTTTTTTGAGACAGGATCTCACTCTGTTGCCCAGGCTAGAATGCAGTGGTGCAATCTCAGCTCACTGCAACCTCTACTTCCTGGGCTCAAGTGATCCTCCCACCTCAGCCTCCTGAGAACCTGGGACAACAGACACCCACCACCATGCCCAGCTAATTTTTGTATTTTTGGTAGAGACAGAATGCTCTTCACCATGTTGCCCAGACTGCTCTCAAATGCCTGAGGTTAAGGGATCCGCCTGCCTTAGCCTCCTAATGTGTTGGGATTACAGATATGAGCCATCATGCCTGGCCTACCTTGTAAATCTTGTATAGAGTATATTCTGGTCTTATTATTTCTTTCTCTCTCTTTTTTTAGAGGATATTCTGGTCTGATTATGTCTCTCTCTCCTGCATGTTCTTTTTTTCTTTTCTTTCTTTTTTTTTTTTTTGGAGACAGGGTGTCACTGTGTTGCTCCTG